AATTATGATGCTATATTCAATTTCTTGTTAGATATTTTTCATTTTCTCTTTTGTTATTGGCAGCATTTTAGAATACTTTGGCTGCAATGCTAATTTTCCTAAGTTGAACAAACTGGAGCTATTTCGTTTAAGCTTTGTCACTTCTTTTTTCCATTGTTGTTTTTAATTCGCTTTCTTCCAGTCATTTTGATGGACAATAGCGAAATTCGGAAATGATCTTATTCCATTTCAAAAATAAAATCTGTAAGAAGGAATATTTTAATATACGACCAAAACTAAAACTCTTTTGACAAAAAACCTTAACGAGTTCGCTATAATTATGTAACAATAACAAAATGATATTCCGCAGACAAATCTACGGTTTATGTTACCTTATCTCATTGCATGGTTACAAACTATAAACCTAAATTGAGCTTGAAATATTGGGTAATCGGCTCTTATTTTTTGGAAAATACTTGGATATGATATAATGAATAACTTTCAGTGAAAACGCAATTTTAGACATTTGTTGAATACGCCCCTCCGAACGCGTACATATAGACCAAGTGTAAAAATACAAGTGCATATGTCCATCAAACCTCCCGTTTAGTTCAATTCCAAAGGTTTGCAATATTCATGACCGTGCTTTCCCATTGTTTAGAGAAGTGGTTTCCCACCATTTTTTACCCATGGACCACTTTTACACTTAATTTTTTTTTTTTTTTTTGATGGACCCCCATAACCATTCGGTGAAAAAAAAGCGCTTCTTTTATTTTTTACTAATAGATAAGTTTAGGAATTGTATTATAGAAATAGAAAATGTATATGCTACCTTTATATATAATCCTTATACAATTTATACATTAAATGAATTTTATTATTAATATTTTACATTTTTTAATCTTTTATATTGGTTAATTTATATTAATATACGAATATTTTATTTTATTATTATTTAAAATTACATTATTTATTATTAATATATTAAATCAATTTATATAATAAATTATAATATTTATATAATCTTCCTTTGTATAAACATATACAGTGATTTTCCAAGCGTAGCTTGGATGTGGCACAAGGCCGAAAGTAAGGGGTACCCAGTGAGGATCGAACTCAGTAATCATTCGTAATAGTTCTAGCGAAACAAGCTTGCTAACCATTGCACCATCTCGAGGTACCCAAACATTTGCATACATATATGAAGAAATATAGTCTTAAGATGTGCTATATTTATGGGATATAGTGCTCAATATCAGAGATAGAGCATGTGTAAATATAAAAGTGAGCATAGAAGTCGACACTTAGAGGCGACAGTCTGTTTCATGTTACACGCAATCATCAGGCCACCTGACGATTGCATATAGCATGAAAACAGACTGTCGCCTGTAAGTGTTGACTTCTATGTTCACTTTTATATATATATATATATATATATATATATATATATATATATATATATATATATATATATATATATATATATAACCCTTTTTTATATATCCTTCTTTGTTCTTATTCAACATTTACAATCAAAATATCCGGTAGAGTAAAAAGGACGCTCTCGTTTTCTGCTAGTTTTACAGTTGGTTTTTTTTTTTCGAATTTTAGTATTTTAATATGGCGTAGATTACTGTAGAAATTCCAAATCTCAGTTGTGACGACCGCTCCGAAGTGAAAATGCTAAATGGACCACTAAAATATTACTGTTAAACACCAATTTTCTATGATTTTTGTGTCGATCCCCCCTCCAGTAATTTTACATGGACCTCTTGGTTTAGAAAAAACACTACACTCTTCACCCCACACTGAGGGCCAGATAAATCTATTTGCCCCACTTTCCCAGAGTAAGATGTGACAAAAGGTCGATTAAACATGGGGTTATTATCGACCAATTTAAAAAATTCCCCAGTCCCGGTGACCACTGTCACGCTGGCGCCGGTATTCAACTGACTCTCCCTCTTTGAGCGCAATAGGGAAAATCCTGATATGATCACAACTCTTTCCACGAATCCATTTATATATTTATATCTATGCAACCAAATATGTTAGCTCTATCTCTGATATCGAGCGCTTTCTAATAAGTACCGCGCATATAATATATAAATAATTATACATACTTATATTTATTTATATTTATATACACTTTTCACACACACACACACACACACACACACACACACACACACACACACACACACATATTTATATATATATATATATATTTCATATATGTTATTTTAAATACTAATGAAAGTTTCTTGTTATTTCTTTTTTTTTTCAATATCCAGATTATTTTCTTGGTTTTAGCTTCATATTTGAAAATGTATGTCTGAGTATTTTCAGTGAGTGTTAGTCATCATCAAAAACTTTTGGCTTTTGTTATGTTGTTGATTTCATAATGCTAGCTGAAAGTAATCAGAAATGGAGGAAAATATATTTTCAAATATGAACCTGAAACCAAGAATATAATCCAGATCATCAAAAATATGGAAAAAAAATCCTTAATAAAGGGGCTTTCATTGACATTTAACCAAATTTGTATGAATGAAAAATTGCTGTCGAAATAAACTTATCACACACACACACACACACACACACACACACACACACACACACACACACACAACACACACACACACATACATAGATAGATAGATAGATAGATAGATAGATAGATAGATAGATAGATAGATAATATTAGTGGTAAATATACACATAGATATGCAAAATATATAAATATATATACATAGGTGCATACACATACATGTATATTTTTTGAATAAAAAAATTCCAAGAGGATAGAATCCAGGTAGAACTCAATGTCCAGGACAGAGTAAGGTTATAATAAAAAGGCTTAAACACTAATATTCCATGGTCATAATTTTTTCATTGGAATCGTAAATACGATCCATTTCATCAGACCTACAAATTCAAAAAGAAAACATAAAAAACAACCCCGGAAATAAAAATAGAATTTAGAGAGAGTGTAAGTATGAGAGTGTGGGACGAATGTTAGAGCTAAAGAGAGGGGTAACAGACGAGAGAAGGTGGGAGATTAAAACTTAACTTAATAAAAACCCTCTCTGTTAAGTTTTAATCTCCCACCTTCTCTTCGCCCCACACTCTCATACTTACACTCTCTCTAAATTATATTTTTATTTCCGGAGTTGTTATTTCTGTTTTCTTTTTGAATTTGTAGGTAGGATAAATTGGATCGTATATACGATTCGAATGGAATAAATTATGACCATGGAATATTAGTGTTTAAGCCTTTTTATTATATATATATATATAATAGATAGGTTTATCTATCACCCAGTACACACCCTCCATGGTCTTTTAAACAGGAGTAGAGGTTTATCCCTTGTTTCCTGTTTAAGGTTGGGTTTCCAATTCATTCTAAAGTCTTTTCATTCTCTTTCACATTAAATACCGCCTAGCGTCTTAGCGGCATTATTGCCATGTTTGGGGTGAATTGATCAAAGAATGGATCTACACATTTGAAATGGGCGGGATGCAACATGAGTTCCTTTTTAATGTGGGGTGCCCGTATACATGGGACAAGGTCAAAAAGTACGCAGTCCCCTCGACTACGAGGGGTTGAAATGCCCGGGACTTGGCAATATTGAAAGATTTTTTTTTTTTTTTTTTTTTGTCTGTGAACTGTCCGAAGATAGAAACACGACAGAGGTGAAGAACAGTTTGATGCCAGTCGAATTCTCAGATAGTAGGAAATCTGTTCGCCCACGTTGTACAGAATGTTTACACTCGCATTTTCAAGTCCTGTTCATTATCATTATAGGCGCGAAAGAAACCTTCTGACCCACCATTTCTATGAAACATGAGAAACCTGAGTAAAAATAGATAATTGATAAATCTGTGCCATTTTTCAATGTTTACTTATCAACAGATGTGTAATTCCGGTGTAAGCGAGTGTGGTCTGAGGGCAGAAATAATTATTTATCGTTTCCTTGTTTGTATAGAGGCAATATCACATTATAATATAAACAATGAGAGACACTGCTCTAAAAAAAACGATGTATCACAATATAATCATTATACTATGATACATCGTTTTGTAGAGCAGTGTCGTCTCATTGTTCATATAATTTATCATTATTTCCTCCCATATATACACACATAAACACACACACACATATATATATATATATATATATATATATATATATATATATATATATATATGAAAAAATATAACGCTAACAGTTCCATATAAGTTCCCGGGTTATTTTATAAATCTGCCATTCGTCCATGCTTAAAATATTGCTGTCACATATGGTCCGGTGCCCCTGATATTTACATTGAGCTCATTGATAAGATCCAAAGAAAAATCAGCACTATTATTGGTCCTGATCTGGCAGCTCGGCTTCAGTCACCTTCATACCGCCGTAAGCTTTCCTCTCTGTTTCTTTTCGATAAGTACTTTCATGGTAATTGTTCGGATAGGGACCTCGTTGTAGTCCCTAGCCTTTTTTATTTTTAGCGCAGTACTAGATTATCGTCGAGATCTCATGAATTTTCAGTTGAGCTGGCTTGATGTAGCCGTAAGTTCTATGCTAACAGTTTCTTTTCTCGTACTCCTCGCTTGTGTAACGCCCTTCCGGCTTCACACTTTCCAGCCAAAAATTTAAATGCAATGTCGATCTTTATCTAATTTTCTTCCTGATTACTCTTTTCTCTTCCCGTTCATCATTAATGTTTCTGTTCCTAATTCTTCCTCTCGCAGTAACGCCTTGTGTTTTAGTGACTTTACTGCCTAGCATGGGGTGATACCGATTAGCAAAAATATATATATATGTTCATACACTGCCTTTTAAAGACATTGATTTAGATTTCAAAGTGGTAAAAACATTTTAAAGCGACTTTCGTTTATTTTTTTATTTTTCAGATTCTGTGCGCTTGTAGCCTTTGAAAGAGACAAAAAAAAATTTGCAGCCACGGCGAGCTCATATACAGAGATGGGGTTAACGAGGTGTGGAAATTTCCTCAAATATTCCATGTTCATATTTAACTTCATCATATTGGTAAGTAGACAAAACCTTTTTTTTTATTTATTTATAAATAAGTTTTATTCATTCTATTTCCACGTCCTTTTTTTTATTCTTTATCTACACTTACCTTTTCATTCTTTATTCTTCATTATATTCTATACCCCATCCTATTCCCTTATTCTATTCCCTGTCACACCGGTCAGCTGCCTCCCACCCCAGTGAATTTATTACATCTCAATTATTATAAAGTAGCATTCACATAAAATACAAATTTGATTGTAACCTAATTATGTACAATAATGTATTATATACAATATGGGTGAACAATTCAACTAGAAAAATTGAAAATAAATACAATATATCTAAATACAAATTAGAGACATGGTGAATTGAAAAGTAACTCCCTATTTTATGTATGATGGACTCTCCCGTCTTGTAAAAATTATAATTAGACGGGAGAATCCATCATAGATAAAATGGGGAGTTACTTTTCAATCACCCTGTCGATCATTCCATCTTAAATAATTCAACAATGTTTTGCGTCAAATTTTTAACATTAACTCGCACCTCTCGCCTGTGGAACTCCCTTCCCTATTCCAGTTTCCCTGAGAGCTATAATCTCCAACTATTCAAATGTAATGTCAATCGACATCTCCAGTTGCCTTGATCTATCCACTATCCTTCTCCTCATCCTTTCCTCTATCACTCCTATCTGATCTTGCTCCAAATCTTCTATAAACCCTTCTGTCCTAGTGGCTTCTCGCCTTGCTTGGGGTGAAACGCTTAAAAAAAAAAAAAAAAAAAAACATTAAAAAAAACTGGAGATTTTTTTTGTCAAAATGTTGAAGAATTTGAACGCATTCGACATTATGGATAAAAAAAAGTGAATTTTATTTAGTGTAATTTTTTTTTTTTCGACATTTAGTATGAGCAAAATAAATTCACAGATTAGGACGAAAAAAAAACAAACAAGATGACGTCAAAATCCACGAAAGCTTTTAATTCTTTAATAGTCAGTTGTTCTGAGTTTAATTTGTAACACACATGAATGTAGGTAAGAAAAAAAAATCAAGCAAATGTGGGTAAGATAGCGATAGACACAAAGCACTACTCGGGGCTCCTAATCAGGCTCCCTATCCCCGTTGAGGGTCTGGGATAGTATGCATCAGACCTGCTATCTTGCTCTTAATCATTTACTCTTTCATCCACGGTCCTATAAGCAGAGCTTCACGGGTCTTCATCACCCAACTAAACAGAAGACTAAATTTGTTTTTCTTGTTCTCAGTCTATGACAATGATAGTAAGCTAAGCTGTATTATTTTTTAAAATTATTGCTGCCATTAATTTTCAAAATAAAATTATTACTACATTATTTACATTATTCGGACTATTATCTTCATCTTTGTCGCCATATTTATCACAACGTTTCGGCCGTTGTACGCTCCGGCCTTCTTCAGGTGGTCGGAATTTCGAACTGAACCCTTTATTTCGCTCACTGAGGTAGACTGTTCTAGTTCCACGTGCCATGCAAGCAAGGACACATGGCACAGAGGATAAAGACGTTGGTTAGATCCAGTAACAGGACCCAAAGAGTGTGAGTTCAATACCCTGTTAAGGCAGTGGAGAACTTTCAGAGTGAAATTAGCAGGAGATAACTAATAACTGACATCCATCAAACATGGCACGTGGAACTAGAACAGTCTACCCCAGTGATCGAAATAAAGGGTTCAGTTCGAAATTCCAACCACCTGAAGAAGGCCGGAGCGTACAACGGCCGAAACGTTGTGATAAATATGGCGACAAAGATGAGGACAATAGTTCGAATAATGTACATAATACCTTATCTCAGAAATATAGACAAAATTATTATTGCCATTAATTTTCAAAGTTATTACTATCATTAATTTTCAAAATAAAATTATTACTACCATTAACTTTCAAAATAAAATTATTATTGCCATTAATTTTCAAAGTTAAATTATTACTATCATTAATTTTCAAAATAAAATTATTGCTGCTATTAATTTTCAAAATAAATAAAACTTCATGTTCCGTTTTTAGCTTTTTTAAACTTCAGCTTCTAACATTTTGATGTGAGTCATATAAGCGGAAAATGTGGGTACTTCGACCTGGTGTAATGATCAGTAAACTCGGTTAATTGCTACTGAAAATAAGTACAAGCGAAAAACAAATATGTATTTAACATAAAAATAAAAAAAAAGATATTTGCAGTAGCATAATAGATCTAAAAAAAAATTAATAATACTTATTCTCTGAGAGAATTAAATAAAAATAAATTCGGTATCAGGAATATTTAAAACCGCATATATGATTTCGCCACCTATTCTTTTAGCATCTAATTTAGCAGCCCACTACCGAAATTTTATTTCGGACGCCCTATCTGTCTTTGTTATCTACTTTGTCATTATTTTAATTTTATTCTGTACACTCTTCTTTCTACTAGTTTAACCTCAATGGCAAAAAATGACGACGATATTTATTTTAA